TTGTTTGCTTGCAAAGCTGTGTCATTCAAATAGATCATAAATATCATACAAAAACAGTTCAATGCTTAAATATTCATTGTATCATTTGTTTCGGAATTCATGTTAAATGTTCTTTAATTGAAATAAATACAATACTTCGATGTGAAAAAGAAGTCCTTTTTCCCTTTTAGTTAACATTTGTAAAAAAATATATACTTTTTCTTTGTAGAAAATTGCTGATTTTGGTTTGGCTACCCAGTTAAACATTCCTGATGAAAAACACTTCACAATGTGTGGAACTCCCAACTACATTTCACCGTGAGTTCTGTCTTCAACTTACCTTATTTTAATCAAAGTCTTGGGAAATTTCTTTTTAATAAAATTGCTGGTAAATGTTTCTGAAATGTTAACAGAAAGAAAAATTGAAACATTTCAGTTCTGAAGAAAATCCCGAAATTTTCAAAAATAAGAATTTGTTGCGATTCCTTTATAAAAATTCATGTTTGTGATGTATTTTGGATTTTGACAGTGAAATTGCCATGCGCTCAGCACATGGACTGGAGTCAGATGTGTGGTCTCTTGGCTGTATGCTGTACACATTCTTGGTGGGCCGACCTCCTTTCGATACAGAAGGTGTGAAGACTACGCTGAACCGTGTTATCCTGGCTGAGTTCCACCTGCCTGACCACATATCTAATGAGGCAAAGGATCTCATTCAGTCTCTTCTCAAGAAAAACCCAAAGGAGCGCCAGAATCTCAAAGGTAGACTAACTTCACTGTCTGTGCTCTGTAGTCACAATTACCCAGGTGTTCTTGGCTGACACATGATGCTAAGGTATGAACTGACAAATGTGGTCCATAACAACTTGGTAAAAGAACTTGGAATGATATTGGTCTTGAGTTAGTATGAATAGCTAACCATGAGGTAAAAGAAAAGATCTGGTATAGTTTTGGTTGCCTTGTGAGAGACTTGTTGTGAACACCCACACTACCTTTATGTATAGGGTGTTGATTGGTGCCTACTTCTAAATAAGTTGATATTTCCTCACAGATATACTCACCCATCCCTTCATGATGAAGGATAACAGCAATAGCCTCAGTAAGGGCTCACAGGGCTTCGGAGAGACATCTATTGACAGTGGCAGGGGTACCATGGCAACTATTTCATCATCACGGGTATCTAGTCATCCAAAGCCACGCCCCTTCCCAGCATTCCCTCTGGGATCCCAGATTTCTGAGGATGAGGAGAGTTTAGAAGCTGCTAAGAAACAAGGAGCTGAGCAAAATGAGGTGTTTTTCCCCAGAAAGGGGGTACCGCCTCCTTCCAACCCTATACTACGACATCCACCCTCTCCACCGGTGCGCCTCCGGGACAGGTAAGTCTGTTTGTCTGATGCGGTACTTTAGTTCATGCACTTAACAATTGAACAGACATATCTCACCATTTTTGTAGTAATATCACGTTGATTTTGGTAAATACAGTTCATAGTACAGAATAGAAAGGAATTTGAAAAATTTAGTTAAAACTGCTTTTTAAAAGACAAGATATGTTTTTTAACTATACAAAATTCCTTAGTATTTATTTGAACATTTTCACTGCTTATAGTATTGATATAGCCATACAGTTGTGTTATATCTGATGTGCTTTTTTACAGTGACAAAGAAGCTCGGTTAGGCAGCCAGCGCTCGACTGACCGTTACATGAGAACCAACAGCCAGGACAAGTCTCAGGAATTATATGGGGCACCGACCTTTGACCCTACCAAATACCAGGAGACCACACCCAACAGTTCAACAGGCTGGTCTTGTAGTCTTAGTACCCATAGTAATGACCCCCGTGGGCGCTTTAGTCCCCCACAGTTGAGTGACAGCAGCAAGCCCTCCATTAGTTCTGCTCTGTCTGACCTGTCCTCTCAGGAAGGTACAGAGTTCTCCCTCCAGAACACTAAAAAGTTGCTGAATTTTGACGGGGATGCAATGGGTAGCTGGCATGAACGGTGTCCACAGCCGGACCATAAGACTGGCCAGCGCTACCAAGACAGTCATGGTCACTCTATGGAGGACATGCTAAGCTCCAACCGATACCAAAACACAGACATCAAAACTGTACACAATAGTGCCAAAGCTAGTAGCTCCAGCAAGTCAATACGTGATGTGGTTTCACCCCTGAACTCGTCAAGGCTGCGACACATCAGACAGAGGACACGAAATGCCATTGTGAGTATTTGATATCAGATATATATTTCTTGCAATTGAATTTATTGCATGTTACCAATGCTAAAAAATGTTGCATATATGTATTGTACCTATTGTATGTATTGTATGTATTGTATGTATTAAAATAAATTTTCAAAAAAATCATCAGGTAATATTCTAGGAAGTAAAAATTGAAGAAATTCTTCAATGTTTACAGTCTTTTGCAATTAAGACACTGCTTAACCTGAATCTATCCCTGTTGTTATTTAAGGTGAACATTCTTGAGTGTGGGGATGTGTGTCTGGAGTTCCTCAAGCAGAAACAGAAGGTGGAAAAAGTGGTGGAGGTGTTTCTCATATCTGTAGACGGACAGACAGTCAACATTTACCAGCCAAACAACGGGCGCGGTGAACCTGTGTGTGATGTTCCGGTCACTCTACCTCCTGTTCCCTCCAAATCCTACACCTTCGACACACTCCCAGAAAAATACTGGAAAAAGTACCAGTATGCTGCAAGGTAAAGAAATCAGATTCACTTAAGGAATGAAATTCACTTTTTCAACATTTATGAGGTCATGGCATCTTTTGGTTCCTGGAAGCGATTCATGGAATATGTCCAGAAACCCAATTTTGCTATGACCTCATTCATGTTGAAAAAATAAATTACATGCCTAATATTTAAAATTTTTAAATGCTTGTTAGATGTAGTTGCAAGTATGACTAAAATAATACAGCTATTTTCCTTCATTATTGCATGGGGCAACACAGTGGAGAGAAAAGCATGTTTTTCTGGGGAAATATGAAACTCAATGCGACAGCATGAAAACAAAACAAGCGAAATGTAGTTCCATTGACTATTTGTTTATTGAATTCGATAACCGGTTTTTGGCCTTTTGATTGAGTTACCGGCTAACTATTGTCAACCTTTATGAACAAATAAATTTGTGGAAATATACTTTTATCATTTTATTAAAAGGTACTTATCTTATTAATAATATTGCACTGGTGACTATCTGTAAAAATCAAAAAGCATTTGTTATTTGCATTAAATGTATCAATGTTATTTAAACTTTCAGGTTTGTGAAGCTGGTACGATCCAAGACGCCGAAAGTGACTCTCTTCACCAGCCGATCCAAGTGCATGCTGATGGAGAACTCGCCTGATGCTGATTTTGAATCCATATTTTATGATGGTAAGTTTCTTTCTAGACTATATGATAGCTTATAATAATCAATCGTAAGTCAGAAATAATTATTTCATTATTTACTCAGAATTAATTCTTTTAATAAAGTTAAAGGCAATCCTAGTATATAAGATATATACGAATGAGAAACACAGATTTACCATGAAAGACAACAACTTCTATTACAATTTCCTCAGTTAAATCTGAGGAATCACTGGTAATTTCTTTACTGCAGTGACGATACATAAAATGTGAGGATATAAAGCTGATTGTGATGTCACAATTCAATCCTGTCAAAATAACACAGAACAATGTCAATTTGGCCCAATCACTGGTGATCTCCTGCTTTTTCAGGAAATAGAATTAACAGAAAATTTTGCAGTTTTCTAATGAATACCATATATTTCCATTGTGAGATTCTTTTTGATATGAAGATAATGGGGAAAACATTCTTCACTATCAGTCACTGAGAGATAGATTATAAACATGAATGTTTAGCATGGTGACCATGAAATACTGATATGAATCTGGGTATAATCATTTATGATGTATAACATGTGTTTGGGAAACATTGGTGTGGATAGAGTGAGATGTGAATTACATGGTATTTGAAGGGTCGTATGTAGTGGATGGGACAGTGAGCTCCAGTGGTGGGGTGGGCAGGTCTGCCCCCCCTCGCAGTAAGTCTGACACCTGCGGCTAGCCCTCCCATGTACAAAACTTTCCGCCTCCACTTAGTACCCTGTAAATTGATTCAGGTTTTTGGTAATGATAATCTTGGAATTTCACGTAATGTGTAATTTTGTAAAGAACTAAAGCTGGAGCAAATCCAGTCCAATCCTGCTTATTAATCATTTGAATATGAAATTTTAATAAAGAATCTCAGATTTGTTTAAAATATGAAACAATTACATTAGGCATGTTATGCTGTTTATAGATGATTTATAAAGAAATAAGATTTAACAATTTTTTAACTAAAAATAAATATGTGAAAGCACTAAATTACTGTTAAATGTTTTAAAAAGAAATGATTAGAACATTTCAGGTGTTTTTTTATTGCTTAATCATACCGGTAAAATGATAAAAACTGTCAAGTATACTTTACAGCCTTTAAGTATTGTTGTGTGGCGGAGAGTTACGTTGGTGCTGTGCCGTCTGCACACATGTCCGTGGTCGTGTGGTGGTGTGTTTCCTGGTCAGATAGGCCAAATTTCATGCATGGCTACCCCTAACTCCTACACAGCCCCACCCTGATGTTTTTATCGTCCGTTGTAATTTTCTCTGTTACAATATTGTGAGTGCCTTAGTTCTGTGATATGTTCCTGTCATCCTGTAAAATGCCTTTCCAACTTTCTTTTTAAAGATATTGTCTTTTCTTACTTTATACCAGCATGTGTGATACAAAATGTTTCATGTCTCCTGTTTTTCTCCTGATGTCTAAGCAGTTGTGATTTTCATTTAATAGAGTGTTTTTTTATAAATTAAATTTTTTAAATGTTGTATTGTTAAATTATATAGCATACATTTTATAGTAATTTAATGATTTCCACATTTATTAGCACCTTGATGTATTCAATGTACCACTTTTTACAGTGACTTGATAAATACTTCAATTTAATTACCGTAATTTCGATTGATTTGTGTGTAAATTTGTATATTGCAGTATTATATATACAAGACTGTTTTGCCAGCTTTAACAAGTTTATAGCATGAACATAGCTAAGCTTCTGTTATCTTTTTGTAATCACACAATTTATTCCATTATAACTTAGTGATAGTTACTCAGTCTGGTACCTGTATCTTACTACAGAATTCTGTTTTGTTTCAGGTGCCAAATTTACAATAAATTCAACAAATACAAGAATAATAGAAAAGTCAGGGACATCGTTGGTGCTGGATTCTGCAGCTGCAGAGGAGAGATTAACGGAGGATACACAGAGACTGCTTGTTTATGTCAAACAGGTGCGCTCATCTTCATGTCACAGACTTTTGGTTAATACTAAGGAATCCCCTTCCTCATTAAGTAGAGTGCTGGTGTGTCCATCGCAATGCTTGATTGATATACATATTGTTTTACTACGATATATGGTGATGTTTTACTACGATATATGGTGATGTTTTACTACGATATATGGTGATGTTGTGATACTTGCATGATATGTTTATGATTATATGGGATTATAAAGACATGGAACTTCAATGAGAGTAGGCAGAAAGCCATATTAGTTGCTTCAGTCCTGGTTTTAAGTTCACTTTTCTTAAATAATTATTAAACAATAATAATGGATAAAAATTTGAGAAATGTCTTAATATGGTATTGATATAGTTGTATGATGTGTTACAGTGTCGGCACCAGTGTCTGGAGATAGAGTCAGTGATCAGTGCGGTACAACAGAGATGTGCACTCAAAACACAATTCTTCCCCATCATTATTGGCAGGTAAGCTCCAACACTTGTCATTATACATATTAATTATGAAAATCAAAATCCTGTTATTAATGGCCAAAAATTGTTTTCATTGTTGATGGCCTGCAAACCAAAATCTTGGATTCAATTTATTTATACAAAATTTGAAAACTTGGAACAACAAATTTGTAAAAAAAGAATTAGAAGAATACATTAGTAAAAGTTCTATGTTTTCAATAAACCTCATTTTGTTAACATCTTTCAGCCGTCCAAAAAACCAGAATTTAAATGACTCTGGTCGGTCCACATCAACAAGTGGGACAGGGCCCAGTTCTGGGGCGTTTGAGAACATGAGCTCACCTTCCTCAGGATCACGACCTTCTCCTTCTGTGGTATGTCCATCCAACATGATTGAAAATTTGACCGAATCAAAGTTTATTTCAGTAATCATAGCTTTAGATGAGGAACATCTCTTATTTTTTTGTAACCTACCATTTTATAAAAAATCTCTGTTTCTGTAACATGAGATCGTATGACACTGTTATTATTATAAATGAATCTTGATAAACCATAGAACGAAATTCGATTTAGTCTGATGTGTAACTGTCTGTTTTACAGATGACCTCCTTTGATGGTACTGTTGTCAGTACGATGACTGACTGTGTTGACCAATCTGTGGACGATTCCCAGGACCGTACCCTCAAGTCTGAGGCTGTGCGATTATCAGCAGAGAGGCTGGGGATTGAGAGACATAATGGTGGGGCAGAGAGACAAGGCACTGGGACAGAGCGAGGGGCCAACACCAGTCCCACCTCCAGTCATAGTGGGGGGAGTCAGCTAAGGAAGGGTGGCCATGACATCACACGCCAAGTCTACGTGCCTGATGTTGGCATTGCCTCTCAGGTAAATGACTCTTGAAATTGACATACTTTTTTTTGAAAAATTAGTCGATGTTATTAAACTATTTTATAGGAAAAGCATTTCATCTCAATTATATGGATTAAGCATGTTAAAAGTGTAAAGCCTTAAGTGTAATTTATATACCTGATACAAAACTACAAAACTAATAATTTATTTATCTATTTACAGCTCACAAATGGCGAGATTTGGGTCAAGTTCAATGATGGCACTCAACTCGGTGTACGCTCAACTACAACAACAATTAAATTTGTTGATACACAGGGCAAGCTCTTCAGGTACATACCCCTCAAGGAGTAATGACATTTGTCTTTTCCTAATGGTCAGGCATAAAATGAATTTTTACTGTGCAAAAATTCTCATGTTTATAGTATTCAGTTTATAGTCCATAAAAATATGTGAATTGAAAACTGGTGGTATGTTCACACAGGATCTAAGTTATACAGGGTTAGTTGGTAGAAAGATACACTAGTCGGTGTACAGAAGCACTAGACAATGCCAACAAACTATTAAAACCTGAGAATTGAACTAAACTGGAATATTCAATTTAAAAAGATTTTATCATATATTTATAATTTCTTAAAGTAGTTCTAAACATTTTGCAAGTGATTATTTATGCATAAAATTTGTTTCTTACAGGTTTCAGAAGACTGATATTTTGCCTGAACTTGTGAAGTCACGACTCGGGAAGGTGCCTGTTGTGTTGGAGCACCTTCTACAACAAGAGCGCTCTGTGGTGGGACACAACAACGCACGATAGCACATACCAGTTGTCAACGCAACACGCTTCCTTATAGTGCCATATTGAACTTGTTTTACTCCCGTTCACTGTCGTCTCACCTGAAGAATTGAGATTCTCTTGCTTGATTACTTGAGAACATTGACATTAGTATGTGAGCTACAGTGATGGGGCCAAGGTGCTGTGATATCTCTCTACTCAATTACTGTCGCTCATATTTTTACCCTGAAATCTGTTCATTTCTACACTATGCATTCATTTTCTTGTGATTACATTAACATTTCTTACTTTTGTATAAATATGTCTGTCATGAATATTCACAATCTGGTTTTAACTAGTCATTGATATTAATTATTTATGAATATGCATGACTTTGTTTTAATTTTCTCGTGAATATACATCAATAGACTAATCTTTATTTATTTGTTGAAATATTTAGTTTTTAAGACTCTTTAAGTTAATCTTCATAGGCAGCTATATGTATATCCTTAGTGGTAGTTAGTGTATAGGTAGTATTTGTACAGTCTGTATGTAGCGTAAGTAAGTGATATGTATAGAGAGTATATATATTTACCTGTATATCTGTAAGTAAGAGAGATATGTATACATTATGTACAGAGAGTATATTTCTATGTATGATAGAAAGAGAGATAGAAATATATACATTGTGTAAGCATTATGTACAGAGGGTATATTTCTATGTATGTATTTGTAAGAAAGAGAGATAGAAATGTACAGAGAGTATATATATAATTCCCTGTATGTATTGTAAAGTGAGAGAGAAGTATATATAATAAATACAGTCTATCTGTCAACTATAGGCACTTTATATGTGGAAAATGAAAGTACTGTAAGTATTCATATTGATAGTACAACAGTTTGTACTTAGCAAGCTTTGTATGTGTAGTTGAGAGTTGGGTAAGTTATGTATGTATGGATAGGTACATACCTGTATGACTTAGCATAATCATGTGTCTATTAGTCTATGACCTGAACACCATACCTGAAGCTTGAACTGTGTTTCAGTCCAGGTTCAGGTGTGCTGATAGAACTCCCGTTAGTGCTAGCTAGACCTCAGGCTTGTCCACCTCACAAGACTCACAAGACTCACCTCTCAATATAGAAGGGAAAAGCAAAAACAAGCATCTATCCTTAATGACATAACTTAACATGTCCACTGAACAACGATTAAGTTACAAACAACGATTAAGTTACAAATATACGATTAATTTACATGGTAGCACATTTCCACCTGGTCAGTCTATGGACTGGTTTAGCGATTGAGAATCTGGCCACTAATATACAATGATTATGTGTGGTATGAATGTGTGCCATGTTACTGTACCTGGTCTATTACCTAAGTTATCGCCCTGTTTATCAAACCGATCAGTGCTACACACTTCATTATTTTGTGCTAGCCTTTGCCATATGGCAAAGACAACTTCTCGAAATTAACAGATAAAAATGCTACTTTTAAAAGTTAATTTTTAAAACATCTGTTAGGTTTTATTTCTTTTTAATAGTTTTATTTTTGTACTTCTTAAGTTATTTTTTAGTTAACAAAATTAAGTAATTTATGAAATTTAAAACTTGCATGAAGAAGGAAAGTTATTTATCATCAATGCTCATGTCCTACTTTTATTTAGATTTTTATTTATTTCCATGGTTTCTATTTATACCAGATAATTGTGGTATATATGTTTGCAAACATTTTATGAACTGAAAGCATCATAATTACAACAAAAATTCAAATATGCAGTATTTTTACCATTATTTATATTTTTGTTATACATTTAATCTTGCCAAGTACGGTATTAATGTGGATTTGTAAACAAGTCATGTGACCAGCATTCCTCCAATCATAAAGCCTGTTTATTGCTGCCTGGCTGTGGACCTGATCATACAGTATGTCATATCTAGTCTATTGTATGTGAAATAAAGGCTCTGATCCTAAGTATCTGTTATCTTATCATTTGTATTAAGTACTACATATGTATGTATTTTAAGACGCATCATGTTTAGATGATAAAGAATATGTATTAAATATGGTGTTTCCTCCACAAACAGTAGTATACATACCACTGTTACATCCTTAGCTTGACAAATGTGTAAGTTGATCCCCAAATATAACATTAGTATGGATACTAGCTATAATCGCGAAGAAGAGTTCCACTCAGAGATTGTACTTCGAGTAGTCTCCCTTCCATATATAGAAGATGAAGCAACCGAAAGGAGCTCTCTGGCTTGGAGTAGCTTCCCCTGTCATGTTTTGCACAGGCTCGTTAGCCTATAAATTGGATACCAATTATGATCCACACCAATGATAAAGTGTAGGCTCTTCAAAGGCTCTTCAAAGTAAAGGTTCCAAGTTCAATTTAAGCAGTTTTTTTAGCTCACCTGGCCCGAAGGTGGTGCGGCGTCCGGCGTCAATATTTTACTTTAAACAACCTTTCAATAACCAAAAGGCCTAGGGTGATGATATTTGGCCAGTAGCATGCTGGGATGAAGGGCTACCAAGTTTGTTCAAATGAATGACCTTGACCCACTTTCAAGGTCACAGGGGTCAAATGTCTTTAAATCTTCAAACAACTTCTTCTCAATAACCAAAAGCCCCAGGGTACTGATATTGGGCCTGTAGCATGCTGGGATGAAGGGCTACCAAGTTCGTCAAATGAATGACCTTGACCCACTTTCAACCTAATGTCCTTGTTGGACATTCAAGGTCACAGGCGTCATATGTTTAAATCTTTTAATAAGTTCCTATGAATCAAACACTGATATTCTGCCTGTAGCTGTATTTTAGTCCACTTTTAAGATTACAAGTGAGATTAATATCAGGTGAGCGATGCAGGCCCATTGGGCCTCTTGTCTGTTTTCATCCTTTATTTTTAGCTCACCTGGCCCAAAGGGCCAAGTGAGCTTATGCCATGGTGCAGCGTCCGGCGTCCGTCCGTCCGTCCGGCATCCTGCGTCCGGCGTCAATATTTTACTTTAAACAACTTCTTCTTAATAACCAAAAGGACTAGGGTGATGATATTTGGACAGAAGCAAACTAGGATGAAGGGCTACCAAGTTTGTTCAAATAAATGACCTTCACCTATTTTCAAGGTCACAGGGGTCAAATATGTTAAAAACTTTAAACAACTTCTTCTGAATAACCCAAATTCCCAGAGTAATTATTTTTGGCAAGTAACGTGCTGGGATGAAGGGCTACCAAGTTTGTTCAAATGAATGACCTTCGTCCATTTTCAAGGTCACAGGGGTCAATTGTCTTAAAAAATCTTTATACAGCTTCTTCTGAATAACTAAGAGGCCTTGGCTAATGATATTTGGCCAGTAACATGCTAGAATGAAGGGCTACCAAGTTTGTTCAAATGAATGACCTTTACTTATTACAAAGTTTGAGAACGAAAATGACCTTGACCTACTTTCAAGGTCATAGGGGTCAAATGTGTCAAACACTTCAAACGACTTCATCTGAAGAACTGAAAGGTATAGAATCTTTATATTTGGCTGGTGGCTTCCTGGGATAGAGACCAACAAAGTTTGAGAATGAAAATTAGTTTGACTTACTTTCAAGGTCACAGGGGTCGAATATGTCAAAAACGTCAAACGACTTCTTCTGAAGAATTAAAAGGTATATAATCTTCATATTTGGCTGATGGCTTCCTTGGATGGAGCCCAACAAAGTTTGAGAATGAAAATTACCTTGACCTTCTTTCAAGGTCACAGGGGTCAAATGTGTCAAACACTTCAAACGACTTCTTCTGAAGAACTGAAAGGTATAGAATCTTTATATTTGGCTGGTGGCTTCCTGGGATAGAGACCAACAAAGTTTGAGAATGAAAATTAGTTTGACCTACTTTCAAGGTCACAGGGGTCAAATATGTCAAAAACTTCAAACGACTTCTTCTGAAGAATTAAAAGGTATAGAATCTTCATATTTGGCTGATGGCTTCCTTGGATGGAGCCCAACAAAGTTTGAGAATGAAAATTACCTTGACCTTCTTTCAAGGTCACAGGGGTCAAATGTGTCAAACACTTCAAACGACTTCTTCTGAAGAACTGAAAGGTATATAATCTTTATATTTGGCTGGTGGCTTCCTGGGATAGAGCCCAACAAAGTTTGAGAATGAAAACTAGTTTGACCTACTTTCAAGGTCACAGGGGTCATATATGTCAAAAGCTTCAAATGACTTCTTCTGAAGAACTGAAAGGTATAGAATCTTTATTTTTGATTGATGGCTTCCTTGGATAGAGCCCGACAAAGTTTGAGAATGAAAATGACCTTGACCTTCTTTCAAGGTCACAGGAGTCAAATGTGTCAGACACTTCAAACGACTTCTTCTGAAGAACTGAAAGGTATATAATCTCTATATTTGGCTTGTAGCTTCCTAGGAAAGAGCCGAACAAAGTTTGAGAATGAAAATGACCTTGACCTTCTTTTAAGGTCACATGAGGCAGATATGTCAAACACTTTAAACGACTTCTTCTGAAGAACTGGTAGTTATAAAATCTTAATATTTGGCAGGTGGCTTCCTGGGAAAGAGCCAAACAAAGTTTGCGAATGAAAATGACCTTGACCTACTTTCAAGGTCACAGCGTTCAAATATGTCAAACAGTTCAAACAGCTTCTTCTGAAGAATTAAAAGGCATAAAATTATAATATTTGGCTGGTGACTTCCCGGGATAGAGCTCACCAAAGTTTGCAAATGAAAATGACCTCAACCTACTTTAGAGGTCACAGAGGTCAACAACATTTTAATGGATTTGTTCTTGAGAACTAAAAGGAATGGATTCATAAGATTTGGCTGGTAGCTTTTTGGAATAGAGCTAACCAATTTGAGAAGGAAAATGACATTGACCTACTTACAAGATCACAGGGAAAAATATGTCAAGCAACTTCTGAAGAAGAATCAAAAAGCATAGAATCTTATAATAATATTTTGCTGGTAGTTTCAACAGATGGAGCCAACAAAGTTTGCGAGGGAAATATTTTTAGTGCAATATAATATTTAATGAGAATATTTTGCTATGACTGCTTAAATATTCAGGTGAGCGATACAGGCCCTCTTGGGCCTCTTGTAATTATTATAGTTGGATCAGAAACAAACCACCATCATACTGTCGATATAATTATATATATATATATCAGCAACAGTATGTAAGATGAGATACATGTCAGTTCTATCTTCTTGTAATATGATGTATATGTAACTGTTCTGTTTCACTGTGTCTTGATAAAGGAGCGGATTGCTCAGAAAATTTGACAACCTAAACTTGTCCACACTGTTGGAATTACTTCTTTGCCCCATATATATATATACATATATACATGTAAAGCATTCTACATAGTTTTGATACACTGTAAATGTAGTTATACATATTGACCATGAAACCGTTATACAATAGAATATACCGTAATAAAATATTTCCTTAAAGAGTCGTGATTGATACCTAATCCGATAGTAGGCAACATCATGCCAACACGCCAATGATATCCTTTTTAAATGACCTGACACTGATGTACATCATATCTATGTATGTGTCTTCCTCAATAGTAACCTTATCATATCTATGTATGTGTCTTCCTCACTAGTAACCTTATCATATCTATGTATGTGTCTTCCTCAATTGTAACCTTATCATATCTATGTATGTGACTTCCTCAATAGTAACCTTATCATATCTATGTATGGGTCTTCCTCAATTGTAACCTTATCATATCTATGTATGTGTCTTCCTTAATAGTAACCTTATCATATCTATGCATGTGTCATCCTCAATAGTAACCTTATCATATCTATGTATTTGTCTTCCTCAATAGTAACCTTATCATTTCTATGTATGTGTCTTCCTCAATAGTAACACTGTCATATCTATGCATGTGTCTTCCTCAAAGTAACCTTATCATATCTATGGATGTGGCTTCCTCAATAGTAACCTTATCATATCTATGTATATGTCTTCCTCAATAGTAACCTTATCATATCTATGTATGTGTCTTCTTCAATAGTAACCTTATCATTTCTATGTATGTGTCTTCCTCAATAGTAACACTGTCATATCTATGCATGTGTCTTCCTCAAAGTAACCTTATCATATCTATGGATGTGGCTTCCTCAATAGTAACCTTATCATATCTATGTATGGGTCTTCCTCAATTGTAACCTTATCATATCTATGTATTTGTCTTCCTCAATAGTAACCTTATCATTTCTATGTATGTGTCTTCCTCAATAGTAACATTGTCATATCTATGCATGTGTCTTCCTCAAAGTAACCTTATCATATCTATGTATGTGTCTTCCTCAATAGTAACCTTATCATATCTATGCATGTGTCATCCTCAATAGTAACCTTAACATATCTAGGTATGTGTCTTCCTCAATTGTAACCTTATCATATCTATGGATGTGTCCTCCCCAATAGTAACCTTATCATATATATGTATGTGTCTTCCTCAATTGTAACCTTATCATATCTATGTATGTGTCTTCCTCAATTGTAACACCGTCTTGACAAAGAAACTGTTGTTGTTTAAACTCAGATATATGAACTTGTAAGTAGTAAAAATATTTTAATTTGGATACATTTTCGACTCTTCATACTGTTAGTTAAAACTTCATTATAATACCATTAATTAGGTGTTTTGCAATACTTTAATCACTGCACAATCGATAGTTAAAACCATTTACAGCTATAGTTGTTGATTGCTATTTCCTCAAATTGAACTAGTGTACATAATACAAAGGATATATAAGATGGAGGAGCATCAACATCTAGATTCCGTGTTTTATTAACGGTTTACATGTGTACATAATGTATATATTTATACGTTTACCTGTAAAATACATGTGTTTATTTAAATATACATCATGGATATAAGTTTCATTTACTTATAACATACTTGTAGCTATTCAAATGTACATAATATATAATGAAATAAAATCATTCTTTTTCATAACGTACATGTATCTTTACGTGAATATGAATTTGTATGTTTTGCATATGTGTGTATCTATTCCATTGCATTTTACCTAACATATTTACCTGATATATATATCATATACTGTTATAGTTAATTTAAAGAACCAGTTCAACACAAATTCTCAGCTGTTGTCTTTTCACAGCTGGTGCCCTTAAGGAGTTAGGGAGGCTGATCGTCCGTGTAGAGGATGAGAGGGACAGAATGGTAGGTACAACACTATCTTCATGATATACCCCTTGTAATCAAGTTCATGATATACCCCTTGTAATCAAGTTCATGATATAGCCCTTGTAATCGAGTTCATGATATATCCCTTGTAATCAAGTTCATGGTATATCCCTTGTAATCAAGTTCATTGTATATCCCTTGAAATCAAGTTCATGATATACCCCTTGTAATCAAGTTCATGGTATACCCCTTGTACATGTTATCAAATTCATGATATACCCCCTGTAATCAAGTTCATGATGTACCCCTTGTAATCAAGTTCATGGTATATCCCTTGTAATCAAGTTCATGATATACCCCTTTTAATCAAGTTCATGATATACCCCTGTTAATCAAGTTCATGATATATCCCTTGTAAATATATAATCATGCAAGTTAAGGTTTGGTTGGGAGTAGGTGGGGGGGGGGGGGGGGGTTGTTGTACTAGAACTAGGTAGCTATAGTGTCAGTCTGTTGACAACTCCCCATATGATTTTTAGCTCACCTGCCCAAAGGGCAAGTGAGCTTATGTTATGGTGCGTCATCTGTCGTCCGTCCATCCGTCCGGCATCCGGCGTCCGTCTGTCTGGCATCAACTTTTTACTTTAAACAACTTCTTCTCAATAACTGAAAGGCCCAGGCAGCTGATATTAGGCCTGTAGCATGCTGGGATGAAGGGCTACCAAGTTTGTTAAAATGAATGACCTTGACCCACTTTCAAGGTCACTGGGGTCAGATGTCTTAAAATCTTCAAGCAACTTCTTCTTAATAACCAAAAGGCCTAGGGTACTGATATTGGGCCTGTAGCATGCTGGGATGAAGGGCTACCAAATTTGTTAAAATGAATGACCTTGACCCACCTTCACGGTCACTGGGGTCAGATGTCTTAAAATCTTCAAACAACTTCTTCTCAATAACCAAAAGGCCAAGGGTACTTATATTGGGCCTGTAGCATGCTGGGGTGAAGGGCTACCAAGTTTGATCAAATGAATTACCTTGACCCACTTTCAAGGTCATAGGGGTCAAATGTCTTAAAATCTTCAAACAACTTCTTCTCAATAACCAAAAGGTCCAGGGTATTGATATTGGGCCTGTAGCATGCTGGGATGAAAGGCTACCAAGTTTACTCAAATGAATGTTCTTGACCCACTTTCAACCTAATGTCCTTGTTCGACATTCAAGGTCACAGGCGTCATGTTTAAATCTTTTAATAGGTTCTTATGAATCAAACACTGATATTCTGCCTGTTGCTGTATTTTAGTCAACTTTTAAGATTACAAGTGTGAGATTAATACAAGGTGAGCGATTCAGGCCCATTGGGCCTCTTGTTCATTGAAGATTTGAAAAACAATATGGGTAACAGGTGATCATTTGTTCTGTCAGTGATTGCAACATGACACTGAAACAGTGTAGTCTGGAATTGAATTTTTAGGTCACCTGAGACAAAGTCTCAAGTGACCTATTGCGGTCGCCTTTTGTCCGTCGTGCATCCGTAAACAATTTACATTTTCGACTTCTTCTCCAAAACCCCTGAACCAATTTCAATGAAATTTTGCAGAAACCTTCCATGGCTAAAGGTCAACCAAAATGGTGAATTATATGGTCCCCAGCTCCTAGGGACCTGAGGGACAAGGCCAAAAAGGGTCAAATTGACTAAAATTTCAAACAAATCTCCTTCTTTAGGGTCTTAATGTGCCTTACCAAAATTGTGAATATCATGACCCTTGGGTCTCAAGTTTCCCCCTCAGGAGGGGGTAAACTTTACTATAGTTTATATAGGGAAATCACATTTTGGACCAACATTTTTGGGGCCAAAAAGGGTCGAATCAAAATCTTCTTCTCAAGACCAAAAATTGTGAATTTTATGACCCTAGNGGGGGGGGGGGGGGGCAAAATTTAATATGGTTTATAATGGCAAATGACACATGTTGAAAACTTGATTGGAATTATAACCCTTTGTTGACAGTTTGATACTTTGAAAATTTTGAGCCAGCCCTACCTCCAAGGGCTGTAGGGTGGGGCCAAAAGGAGTCAGTGTGCTAAAGTTTCTTTATTTTCCTTGTTTAGAATCAGAGGTGCTAGTTTCAAATACTTTTCAGTCTTAAATCTGTATGCTAGATATTGAATAAGGTGGTTTTATTGTTTTTCGTCACTTTGAATAATATTTCTGTTCATGTTTTAAAAACAAAATTCAACTCTATGTATTAATATATCAGAACTCAGGTGACCGTTGAGGCCCATAGGCCTCTTGTTTGTATATTGGTTCGCACTTTGGTGGGGAAGAAGTTTATATACTCTTTATCACATAATGTACTGTGTTATCCGGTGAATATACCCATGTCATATTTTTTGGCGTATTAACCTATGTAATATAACCCTATCAGCCCTGTGATTGGTTGTAAGTTTCAATTGTTTCAATTGTGACGTCACGCCTAGGACAAGAACGTGACGTCACAGACTTACGCACTGGAGTCAAAATGGCGGCTTTTCACATTTCAAGGTTGCATGAAAATTGTTGTTTTTAACGAATAAATGCCACAAATCTTGATTATGTGATAGAAAGAATCTTACACTCGTTTTCATTTCATATGAAATGTATGAAACTCGTCACAAATTTTTCATTTTAGCTCACCAGAGGCTCGCTAATTTGAAAAATTCTTAGTCTCCTTCCATAAATCTCATATGAAATGGAAACTCATGTAAGATCCTATATATATGTAACTTTGCCAGACTAGAGCTGATAATAAACTGTTAATTGTCATAGCAGCTCCATGTGTATAATCAGTGTCATAAGGTAATTGTGACTTATGGAATAGTTCTCTTTTTTAGTCAGGTTATTAGGTGATTTATGCCAACTGAATAGATGCCTTCTATGATAAATTAACTCACGGCCAACTGGAACTACCACCTTTATTAGTTTGAATTAATAGATAAGCTTGGGCCAAAGTTTTTGGGTTGAAAATCAGTGTCAAAGCTGACTGGTACTTGGAGCTATTAGAAATGATTGGCAATCAGTTTCTATGTTTATCATTTACTTTCCTGTCTGTTTATTGACTTGGGCATGCAGGCCTACACAGAAAGCTGGTGTATATACTTATCAAAATATGACCTTCATTATTAAAAACTATCATCAGGTAAAGAAATTAGAAGACTTGTTTTAAAAGTAAGGTCAATGTGACCTACTATTTATAATTCGACCTACATAATTATATGTAAGAGTCGTCAAAAATTAACCAAATTGTAGGTCACCTTGACATTTGAAATTTAAGTTATCAACTAGAATTCATTTTAGGGAAAAACGAAATATGTTTGACGCATAATTGCTATTTGAAAAAGAAAGTGTTTTGAGGTAGAGAAGCTGGGAGTAGAATTGACTGACATCACTGGAGACTGAATTATTTACTGACTTTACTTGGGACGGTATCATTTACTGACATCACTGTGTTTAACATTCACTGACATCAATAAGTACTGTATCATTTACCTGGTACTGACATTATGTAGCACTGCATCTTTTGCAGAAATAAAAAAGGATATTTTTAATGTTAGATATCTTGTTTAGATTGCATGTTATAGTCAGACCACAATGACCTGACGAGTTGAGATCAAATTGTCATACATACATATATATATATATACATACAGAAAGTTGATAAATTTAAACTTGAAAATGATAGCACAGGTTAATATCATGATCACATTACACTTTGTAATGCTGATCTTTGATCAGCTCTGTAGACCGACTTTCCTTCAATACCTATGTACTTTTAGCCAATGTTATCTGTATTTAGTTATTAGATATACCCTGTTTACAGCATATGATATACACTAGTGTTGATCTTTGTACTTCTAAAGTTTTATTTCTTACTTACAACCGATGTTATTTATATAATTATTCCTTGTTGTACTGTAGTAGTTGCTGAGAGATGTAACGGGTCAAAGTTAAAGTAGCTCGTCTTACCTTTATATAACCCTGCTGATACAGATAAGTGAATACCAGTGTATGTGTAAGGAGTGAGCTGATAGTATCCTGGACACTAGGACACATCAGTCCGGTAAGTCATTTCAGTCCTAATTATTTTAATGCACTTGTGTACTAGCATCAAGATATATCTAAAACTTTCCATCACAGATAAGTTCCCAGTCTCCATAGAACTGTATCTAAACTTGTACTCAATAACAGAGAAATTCAGTCTCCATAGTATTGTTCCAACCCCCAGTACCCTTACTTGGAACTTTCAGTCTCCACAGAATTGTATATAAAATTTTCCTCAATTACACGGAATTTCTGTCTCCATAATATTGTATCAATATTTCCCCCCTCTAAGTTCTATGACATTGTATCCACAGTAGCCAAATAGTCAAAAGTGCTCTATTTCAGGAGTTGGTGGTCAGGCTCTAGCAACTTTTGTTTGACTTTTGTTTCAATAGCTACTCTCCAAACCACAATCATTTTTGCCAGATTGTAAGAAAATATGAGTTGAAATTTTTATAGCATAATTTGCACAAATATTCTTTTTGCAAAAACACATCAGGGGGTTAGGGCAATGTGATGTGATGACCTTTGAATCTATAACTAGTTTTATATGACAGGCAAATGGTTTATACACATTTTGGTTTGTTGTTTGTATCTTGTGGTCCTAATATAAGAAAATGCTGGGAAGACATCCATACTTTTGCATGATTTTTCAATCCAAAGCAGTTGATGGCTATCAGAAAAAAATGCAATGCAGACATGCTATATGAAGGAATATGGAAAATTAGATGCTTAAAAACTGATGCCATATACCTCTTTGATTTATTTCAATGGCGAAATTGATGATAATGTTTGAAAAGTATTCCCTATCGGATGTCGGATGTCGCAGCATAGGGAGGAGGATACCATGGGATCAAAAGCAAAATATAAACTCAATATCTAATTGTCTAGCCAGACTAAGTACAAACAATCTTCTTGTCGCATGGCATACTCATTCTTAATTAATGAAGCAGTACCTCTCAAGATCCAATGCATAGAGTGGGTGGTCAAATTTAAAAAGTGTGCGTGGGGGG